AAACTAATTACAATGTTTTTAGAGTCAGATGAAATAGTAACTGTTAGGTTATACATACCATCATTTTCCACATATGTAAACCTTGATATTTTCTCTTCTGCATGGAGCTCTGGAATTTTTAAAGGTTGTGATGAATCGGCCACAAATGAATATTTCTTATGACATAAAATGAGCAGTCCTTCTGCCTTTTCATCCAGTGAACAGTATTCTATGGTTCCCTCTCCTGCAACACTTCTAATGCGGTGTATTTCCCATGTAGTACCTAAAAGAACAAAAAACCTTTGTGAATATTTCATTACATCATGATGGATGCCTTTCCAGGTATTAAATGAAGGGTTCTATATGGATGATGATAATAATGATAATAATAATATATACCTAGGTATATAGATAAAGGTAGGGAAGTTTTTATTGCATTTATGGATTTAGAAAAGGCATATGATAGAGTGGATAGAGGAGCAATATGGCAGATGTTGCAAGTATATGGAATAGGTGGTAAGTTATTAAATGCTGTAAAGAGTTTTTATGAGGATAGTGAGGCTCAGGTTAGGGTGTGTAGAAGAGAGGGAGACTACTTCCCGGTAAAAGTAGGTCTTAGACAGGGATGTGTAATGTCACCATGGTTGTTTAATATATTTATAGATGGGGTTGTAAAGGAAGTAAATGCTAGGGTGTTCGGGAGAGGGGTGGGATTAAATTTTGGGGAATCAAATTCAAAATGGGAATTGACACAGTTACTTTTTGCTGATGATACTGTGCTTTGGGAGATTCTAAAGAAAAATTGCAAGGTTAGTGGATGAGTTTGGGAATGTGTGTAAAGGTAGAAAGTTGAAAGTGAACATAGAAAAGAGAAAGGTGATGAGGGTGTCAAATGATTTAGATAAAGAAAAATTGGATATCAAATTGGGGAGGAGGAGTATGGAAGAAGTGAATGTTTTCAGATACTTGGGAGTTGACGTGTCGGCGGATGGATTTATGAAGGATGAGGTTAATCATAGAATTGATGAGGGAAAAAAGGTGAGTGGTGCGTTGAGGTATATGTGGAGTCAAAAAACGTTATCTATGGAGGCAAAGAAGGGAATGTTTGAAAGTATAGTAGTACCAACACTCTTATATGGGTGTGAAGCTTGGGTGGTAAATGCAGCAGCGAGGAGACGGTTGGAGGCAGTGGAGATGTCCTGTTTAAGGGCAATGTGTGGTGTAAATATTATGCAGAAAATTCGAAGTGTGGAAATTAGGAGAAGGTGTGGAGTTAATAAAAGTATTAGTCAGAGGGCAGAAGAGGGGTTGTTGAGGTGGTTTGGTCATTTAGAGAGAATGGATCAAAGTAGAATGACATGGTAAGCATATAAATCTATAGGGGAAGGAAGGCGGGGTAGGGGTCGTCCCCGAAAGGGTTTGGAGAGAGGGGGTAAAGGAGGTTTTGTGGGCAAGGGGCTTGGACTTCCAGCAAGCGTGCGTGAGCGTGTTAGATAGGAGTGAATGGAGACGAATGGTACTTGGGACCTGACGATCTGTTGGAGTGTGAGCAGGGTAATATTTAGTGAAGGGATTCAGGGAAACCGGTTATTTTCATATAGTCGGACTTGAGTCCTGGAAATGGGAAGTACAATGCCTGCACTTTAAAGGAGGGGTTTGGGATATTGGCAGTTTGGAGGGATATGTTGTGTATCTTTATATGTGTATGCTTCTAGACTGTTGTATTCTGAGCACCTCTGCAAAAACAGTGATAATGTGCGAGTGTGGTGAAAGTGTTGAATGATGATGAAAGTATTTTCTTTTTGGGGATTTTCTTTCTTTTTTGGGTCACCCTGCCTCGGTGGGAGACGGCCGACTTGTTGAAAAAAAAAAAAAAAAAAAAACCTAGGTAGTAGGTTGGTAGACAGCAACCACCCAGGGAGGTACTACCGTCCTGCCAAGTGAGCGTAAAACGGAAACCTGTAATTGTTTTACATGATGGTAGGATTGCTGGTGTCTTTTTTCTGTCTCATAAACATGCAAGATTTCAGGTACATCTTGCTACTTCTTCTTACACTTAGATCACACTACACATAAATGTACAAGCATATATATATATATACACACACACCCCTCTGGGTCTTCTTCTATTTTCTTACTAGTTCTTGTTCTTGTTTGTTTCCTGTTATCTCCATGGGGAAGTGGATCAGAATTCTTCCTCCGTAAGCCATGCGTGTTGTAAGAGGTGACTAAAATGCCAGGAGCAAGGGGCTAGTAACCCCTTTTCCTGTATATATTACTAAATATAAAAGGAGAAACTTTCGTTTTTCCTTTTGGGCCACCCCGCCTCAGTGGGATATGGCTGGTGTGTTGAAAGAAAGAAGATATGTACAATGTATATAGGCCTAGCTGACATCAATGACCTGTTACTATATAGAAAGCCCCTTGTTATACCTGGAGTTTACCTGGAGAGAGTTCCGGGGGTCAACGCCCCCGCGGCCCGGTCTGAGACCAGGCCTCCTGGTGGATCAGAGCCTGATCAACCAGGCTGTTGCTGCTGGCTGCACGCAAACCAACATACGAGCCACAGCCCGGCTGATCCGGAACTGACTTTAGGTGCTTGTCCAGTGCCAGCTTGAAGACTGCCAGGGGTCTGTTGGTAATCCCCCTTATGTGTGCTGGGAGGCAGTTGAACAGTCTCGGGCCCCTGACACTTATTGTATGGTCTCTTAACGTGCTAGTGACACCCCTGCTTTTCATTGGGGGGATGGTGCATCGTCTGCCAAGTCTTTTGCTTTCGTAGTGGGTGATTTTCGTGTGCAAGTTCGGTACTAGTCCCTCTAGGATTTTCCAGGTGTATATAATCATGTATCTCTCCCTCCTGCGTTCCAGGGAATACAGGTTTAGGAACCTCAAGCGCTCCCAATAATTGAGGTGTTTTATCTCCGTTATGCGCGCCGTTCTCTGCAGAGCATTTCAAGGAAATTAAGTAAATTTTGTCCCCAGGATGCAACCCACACCAGTTGACTAACACACAGGTGCCTATTTTACTCATCGGTGAATATGGACAGCAGGTGTCTTAAGGAAACACGTCCTAATGTTTCCACCCATATCAGGGATCAAACCACGGACCTCAGTGTGTGAGATGAATCAGCTAGCAATTCTGAGGAAATTATTTTAGTGTGAAAAATTTCATTATTCTGCATTAAGGTATGTGGTAATCTTTTATATACAGTCTTACTGTAGCAGAATCAACAAATTCTGCTGTACAATAAAGTATCCAATAACCAATACACAAAGCAAAACCTCCTGAATAAAACTCAGTTTCAAAATATCTTTGTGTCTTCCTTCACTGAAACATTATTACTGCATCTCACATCCTGGTTCTCTGACTTTCCAACTTACCCCTGACCTTATCTATTCCTGATTATTGTATTCAAATATATATTACCACACTTAGTTACAATATGCATCTTTTTTCATCTTGTTCACACAGGCCTGCAACCAAGGGTATAGGGGATATGCACTGCCCTTCCTGGAAACATTTTGGTCTCCCTTGGAAAGTTTGAGAAATGGCAAGAATATAGCAAGGCTAAATGTGCACATGAACCTCTAAATTAGAGAAATCATCACCAGAATGTAAGGCTGTTGGTAGACTGTAAAGCTAGACAACAGTGTTGTCATCTGCAGCACTGGTGACATAAGACATACAAAGTTATGATTAACAATTAGCCAAGCTTTTCTCTTCATTATTTGAAAGCAGAGTACTGGTGTTTTGCTTCATAACTTATGGTGACGTCTCACAGACAACACTAAAGTAGAGTACTGGTGCTTTGCTTCATAACTTATGGTGAGGTCTCATTGACAAAACTAAGTGTTGATGCTTTAAACTTTGAGTCAGAAAATTTTTTTGATTTGAAAGCTGCTCTTCCACTCAAAGAGACAGGTATTATCAGGAATTATTATGAGGGAAGCTGGATAGACTGTAGTGAAGGATGTCGACATGACATTTTCCAAAGCACTGCACAAGCCATCCAGAACTCAGATAAATTAGACGAAACACAAATGACCCTGAACGAATAAACACTAAACCAAATTATCTCTTGGGTTAAAATAGAAGCATTTGCTAGCAGATCAAAAGAGGAAAGACAACAAAAGAAATATGAAATTGAGGTAATTAAAGAATCACAAACCACCCCAAAGGGTTTTTTCAGGTATACAGGTAAAAGCATTGGAATCGATATCAGTGGTCATTAGATAATTTTGATGGTATTGGTATCACCCTAATGGTATCCTCCCATTCTTAACAGGAATAAGATTAGAAAAGAATAGGCTCACTTTAATATAACTCAAGTCAGCTTACTGTTAGTGGAAAAAGAAATGTTTACCATTTTAAATACTTATCTCCTCTTTGTTTTTACACAATAGGATACAAATGAAATGCTAGAAATTAATAATTATACAGCTCAGGTTGCAAATAAATTATGTAAGATGTTAATTAGTAGTACTCCATGGGGAAGTGGAACAGAATTCTTCCTCTGTAAGCCATGCGTGTCATAAGAGGCGACTAAAATGCCGGGAGCAAGGGGGCTAGTAACCCCTTCTCCTGTATACATTACTCAAGTTACACATAAAAACTTTTTTCTTCTCAGGCCACCCTGCCTCTGTGGAATATGGCCGGTTTGCTGAAAGAACAAGAGGTATGTTGATTATCAAATGGTATACAATACCGACAGGTTGGTAGATAAGACACATAAGCAACATTTAGGCAACTTTATTTTGAAACGTTTCGCCTACACAGTAGGCGAAACGTTCGCCTACTGTGTAGGCGAAACGTTTCGAAATAAAGTTGCCTAAATGTTGCTTATGTGTCTTATCTACCAAGAGGTATGTTACTAGTGACATGATTTTCAGACAACTAGAGAGACTGAAGCCAACAATGGGCTCTTTTCAAGGGGTCTTAGAGAAAGTAATAGGTCTAACCAACTATTAGCTAGACTCTTCAACTGATTATCACAACAGCGTGAAACAAGCTTTTATGCCACAAGACGGGCAGAAAGCAGCAACTTCACTCTGGCTGTACCCTTCTCCAGAACATCACTCCATCTGAGATCATACATACCCAGGATGACTCGAGTATGGAACACATTCGTACAGCATAATGATGTCAACGAGATAAAGTTAGTTGATCAAATGAAAATGCTGGCCCACAGATGGCTCCAACTTCATCCTGTTTCCTACTTGTATGTCTCATAACAATAAAAATGCTTTCAAATGAGCTGATGTAGGTAACAGCTCTTAGCTTGCCAATAAAGTTAGGAATCCTTAACCTGTAAATAGCTGTCAATAAAGCTAGGGATCCTTAACCTTGTCAAACCCTGTGTAAAAAAAAAAAAAAAATAAAAAAAAAAAAAAAAAAATGGGTACCATACTGTTTAAGTGAAAATTGGTAAACGTGATACTCATTTACAAAGTGGGAGATAAGCCATCAGCTTCAAATTATTGACCTAATCTTAATTTTAGTTAAGTTAGTGGAATCAATAATTGCAGCTGCAAATTGAAGCCACCTTGATTATTATTATAATCAAAAAGAAGTGCTAAGCCACAAGGACTATACAGCGAAGCCACCTTGAAATACATAACTCTGATCAATATAGCTCAGCACAGTTTTACAAAATGATGATCTTGCCTTATGAATTTACCAACCTTTTTTTCACAAAGGTATTTGAGACAGTAGCCCATGATAAAGACTGATACAGTGTATATAAATTTCAGAAAGTTCTTGACAGAGTTCCATGCAAGAAATTGATGAAGAAGGTAGTGGCACATGGTACAGGAGTGGCACATGGAGAGGAGAGGCATGGCTAACCTGATAGGGAATAGAAAAATGGGAAGAAATCAGAATGGGGATCTATTACATGTGTTGGGCCACAGGGGTCATTTCTGTGTTGTCCTCATTGTTTGTACAGTACATACATTGGCTACCCTTCCATACAGGCTAGCACTTCTGTCAATATAACAGCTGTCCATCCATGAAAGTTTAGTACTTTCTGTGAAATATCCCAACTGACCTATAAATTCACCAATAGTTTCTGCTTCACCTTTTGTTTGATAAAATAAATATGGTGTACAGAGTGACTGGAGGCAAGTGGTTTTTATGATTTGACATGCTGTTGAAGTGTGAGCTGGGTTACATTTACAAGGGATTGAAGGAAACTGGTCAGTTGGACTTGAATACTGGAGGTGGGAAGTACAGTGTCTGTACTCTGAAAGTGGGATGGGGATATTGCAATTTGGAGGATCACCTGAACTGTGATGTCAGCACGCTTCTAGCAAGACAATGATCAAATGAAAGACAGTGAAAGTGTTTTCCTCTGTGTCCGGTCACACTACTTCAGTGGGTGATGGCTGGTGTGTTAAATGTTTATTTTTTATTATTTTTTATTAACACATCAGCTGTTTCCTACTGAGACAGGATGACCCCCCCCCCCAAAAAAACACACACCATTCACTTCATCACTGTCTTGCCAGAGGCATGCCTACACTACAGTTAAAAAACTGCAATACAGCCTTTCCTCACTTAACAATGGAGTTCCATTCCTAAGACCACATCGGTAAATGAATTCATCAGTAAGTGAGGAGCATACTATAATGGTAGTGGGTTTGTGTCAACCATCTTTGATATTGTTTTAATGTCACCTTTGCATCATGTATAACATTTCTGGTATACTTTTAAATGTTTATACAGTAGTGTACTGTAGTATACTGTAATAAACAGAATAGAGGAAATCAGCTCTAATATACACTATTTAACCCTTTGACTGTCGCGGCCGTATATATACGTTTGCGAGGTACCGTGTTTGACGTATATATACTCATAAATTCTAGCGGCTTCAAATCAGGCAGGAGAAAGCTAGTAGGCCCACATGTGAGAGAATGGGTCTGTGTGGTCAGTGTGCACCACATAAAAAAAATCCTGGAGCACGCAGTGCATAATGAGAAAAAAAAAACTCCGACCGTTTTTTTTAATTAAAATGCCGACTTTGTGGTCTATTTTCGTATAGTATTTGTGGTTGTATTCTCGTTTTCTTGGTCTCATTTGATAGAATGGAAACTATATTATAGAAATGGAGGTGATTTTGATTAATTTTACTATAAAAAGAACCTGGAAATGGAGCACAAAGTACAGGAAATGTTTGATTTTTGCCGATGTTCAAAAGTAAACAAATGATGTCATTGTCCAATAAATGTCCAAATAGCCATTCTAATACGCAGTCATGAATGGGTTGATGTAATTTTTACAATTATTACAGTATTGCAGTAGTCTGCATAACAGTAAATCTTCTATTTTTTGTTTGAATAAAATTTCAAAATAAAAAGCAAGAGTAATATCACAGGACCTGGAGACATGACTGATGAACAAAGAAAATGTTATTTTAGAGCCAGGAATGTCTGCATTGTTCATTCTGGACTTTATTTTGAAATTGTCGTATTTTTTAATTTTCGTGAAATTGGCCAAATTGCAAATTTCTGACCATGTTATTGGGTAGTTGAAATCGGTAAATGGGCAGTTTCTTGTACTCAATCGATAGAAAAAATAGAGTTCTGAAGAAATAGTTATGAGTTTGGTTGACTGGAATAACAGAATTAGCCGAAAATAGGGCTCAAAGTGGGCGAAATTGCCGATTTTTAAATATCGCCGAAGTCGCTAACTTCGCGAGAGCGTAATTCCGTCAGTTTTCCATCAAATTTCGTTTTTTTGGTGTCTTTACAATCGGGAAAAGATTCTCTATCATTTCATAAGAAAAAATAATTTTTTTTTTTTCGAAAATTTTGCGACACCAGAAGCAACTTCAGGATTTGGCCCTTCGACAGTCAAAGGGTTAAGTATGCATACTGGTCAGAGAGCCCGTCGTAAACCCGAGTCATCGGTAGCAAGTACATTGCTAAGTGAGGAGAGACTGTATAGTGCATATCACACCCCTCCTTCAGAGCGCAGGCACTGCATTATAGTGCTCTGTACAATAGTACACAAAACCCTGTGTAACAGAGTTTGCATATCATAAATAAAACTTTTGGCTGGATAACGACTCAGTGAGTCTGCTGCACAGGAATGTCTAGTAGAATCATTAGTGCAGTAGTCCAAGTCTACTGCACAGCAAGGTGTCTATATGGAAGGGGTCCAGAAGTACCATCAATGAAGCAGACAATGTTTGCTGCATTTCATGTTTGTCTGGTACAGGCTGTATCCAGGACCTGCTCATTTTTATTGTTCCTTGGTGAGCAGGTATGCTGACCCATCCCATGTCAGTTTGTTATTGTTTGCGTGCATGTCCCCACATACTAGCATCATTCCATCTCCAGTTTTCAGTGGATTTACAGTGTTTATTGTTACTTTGTAATATAAAGTACAATAATATTAAACTTGACCTGTAACATGAGTAAGGGTCTCAAGAAGAAGAGTATTTATGGTAATTTATTGTACTGTATTCTATTAAAGTTTATTCTTAGTATGTTCGGTAGTGCCACTGACGCAGTAGGAGAAGCCTGCTGCATAGGGAGTTTGTCCATGTCCAGTAGAACAGTACCAGTAACTGGACACTCCCTCCTCCCTATTAGCCCACTGCACTCAGATTTCACTATGTATCTGTTTAAAACTCCATGTGGTTACACTCGTACATTCAGAAAACTGAGTATACACAAGAGCTGACATGGCACTGAAATTTCTCATAATTTTTCCATAGAATCAATTGCATTGTGGCAAGAATGTGTAGTACCACAGAAATTAAAGGCATTGCAGTATTAACCATATCACAGTAGAAATGTCATGTCAAAACACATATTATACACAAGTTTCTGTACTGCATAATTCACTTTTAAATAGTGTAAAGAATTGTACTGTCTGAGACACAGAAATGTTAGTGGTGCAACTAACCATTGTATACAACAGTAAGCCAATGAATGAGATGCAGAGCTGAATCCTTTGGTAATGATGCAAGTTTTTCACCAACAACATACTCAGGGTTGTTGATCAAACTGTGTGGAGTTGTAACAGCAACAAAGAGACAATGTAGGTATCGTTTGTAATCATTCCCACTCTTGAGGCAGGTGTGGGCTATCACACCCTTTTCTGTACTGCACTCAAAGCTTAACTGAAATTAAAACAATAATGCTTTAGATGCATTATAATATTTATGTAAATACACAATGATCACTGTCCAAAAATCTGAAAGATATTAAATATTCATTTTAATAATTACTCTCTCAATACTGTACAACAAAAGAAATACAGTTGAATATTGCATCACTATTGTATAGTTATTGCAACTCAGAGCTTCCCTTATGTAAACAAAATTGTTTCTAATGAAGATATATTCCATGTAGGTACTGTAGTAGGTTGTAGACAGCAACTGCCGAGTGTAAAACGGAAGCCTGTACGTGTATTTGTTTTACATGATGGAAGGATTGCTGGTGTCTTTTTTCTGTCTCATAAACATGCAAGATTTCAGGTACATCTTGCTACTTCTACTTACACTGAGGTCACACTAAACATGCATGTACATGTTTATGTATACACACTCAGAGTTTTCTTTGATTTTATCTTAATAGTTCTTGATCTTATTACATATCCTTTCATATCTATGGGGAAGTTGAATAAGAATTTTTCCTTTGTAAGCCATGTGTAAGGCTCAGGTTAGGGTGTGTAGGAGAGAGGGAGATTATTTCCCAGTAAAAGTAGGTCTTAGACAAGAATGTGTAATGTCACCATGGTTAACATATTTACAGATGGGGTTGTAAAAAGAGTGAATGCTAGGACGTTGGGGAAAGGGTTGGGATTAAGTTATGGGAATCAAAATTATGGGGTTGGATTAAATTATGGGGAATCAAAATGGGAGTTGACACTGATACTTTTTGCTGACGATATTCTGCTTATGGGAGATACTAACGAAAAGCTGCAAAGGTTAGTGGATGAGTTTGGGAGGGTGTGTAAAGGTAGAAAGTTGAAAGTGAACATAGATAAGAGTAAAGTGATGAGGGTATCAAACGATTTAGATAAAGAAAAACTGGATATCACATAGGAGGGAGGGAATATGGAAGAAGTGAAAGTTCTCAAATATCTGGGAGATGATTTGTTAGTGGATGGGTTTATGAAGGATGAGTTTAACCATAGAACTGAGGAAGAAAAAAAAGTGAGTGGTGCATTGGGGTATCTGTGGAAACAAAAAACGTTATTCATGGAGGCAAAGAAGGGAATGTACAAAAGGATAGTGGTACCAACACTCTTATATGGGTGTGAAGCATGGGTTGTAAATGCTACAGTGAGGAGGAGGTTGGAGGCAGTGATGTTATGTCTAAGGGCAAAGTGTGGTGTAAATATTATGCAGAGAATTCGTAGTGTGGAAATTAGGAGGAGGTGTGGAGTTACTAACAGTATTAGTCAGAGAGCTGAAAAGGGGTTGTTGAAGTGGTTTGGTCATTTAGAGAAAAGGAAACAAAGTAGAATGACTTGGCGAGTGCATAAATCTGTAGGGACAGGAAGGCGGGGTAAGGGTCATCCTCAAAAAGGTTGGAAGGAGGGGGGTAAAGGAAGTTTTGTGGGTGAGGAGCTTGGACTTCCAGCAAGTGTACGTGAACGGGTTAGATAGGAATGAATGGAGATGAATGGTTTTTGGGACCTGACGAGCTTTTGGAGTGTGAGCAGGGTAATATTTTGTGAAGGGATTCAGGAAAACTGGTTAGCTAGACTTGAGTCCTGGAAATGAGAAGTACAATGCCTGCACTTTAAAGGAGGCAGTTGGGACATTGGCAGTTTGGAGGGATGTCTAAGCTGATGTATCTGAGTGCCTCTGCAAATACAGTGATTATGTATGAGTGATGGTGAAAGTGTTAAATGATGAAAGTTTTTTCTTTCTTTTTGGGTTTTTCTTTCTTTTTTTGAATCACTACCTTGGTGGGAAATGGCTGATATGTTAAAAAAAGAAATACGTATTCCACATACACCAATACATGCTAAATTTCCTTTTATTTTCAACTGTCTGGATACTGGTTTTATGGATAATTTATGGATCGCTTGTGATAGAAATTATGGGAACTGCATAATTATAACCTTATAGTATATGCAAGAGTGAGTGTTGACTAAAGTATCAGTGAAGTGTGTGTGTGTGTATGTGAACAGAGAAGTACAGCCTCTCCTCACTTACCGATGGAGTTCCGTTCCTAAGACCTTGTCAGTAAACGAATCTGTCGCTAATCGAGGAACCAACCCTTACTGATACAGTGGTACCTTGCCTTTTGTGCAGTTATTTTGCCAAATTTCCTTTTTCTAACCATGGGTCCTAAGAAAGTAAGTGCAAAGGACAGTGCTGAGAAGAAGAGGATGATGGCCATTGAATTAAAGCATGAAATCATAGAAAAACATGAGCAAGGTGTGGTGTAGTTGACTTGGCGAGGCAGTACAAGCATAGTATATACTTCGTGCCTCATGCCTTCTTGCATAGAAGGCACGAGGCATTTACGCTGATTCACTTCCGAGATATTCATCCAAAATGTAGGCCAGTCTCCTAACTCAGAAAAAAAAATAATTCTGAGAAAATCATTATTGTTTCAGTTTTTTCCTTATGAAACTAGTGATTTAGTGCAGTTAGCCTCACAAACAATCCATTTTCTCTTATAATAAGACCTCAGAAGGGCAAGAATGGGAAGATATGGTCAGGGCGATAATTATTTTTACCTCTGTACTGACCGCCACCACTCGTCACGTAATGGCATATTTTATTCATTCTAGAGTACATATCATGTTTCTATGTTATTTATATTGTTTATTATGTCATATTAGATCAATTGTGATAGATAAATAAGCCATAGAGTTGATATTAGCATTATATTGAAGTATTTTCTCCTGCCTCCTGAGAGCCAGGAATTCTGCTGGAACAGATTAATGGCATTTCAGTTAATTTCAATGAGGAAAATTGATTTTGATATATGAGCAAATTGAGTTATGAACTGGTCACGGAATGAATTAAACTCGTAAGTCAGGGTACCACTGTACTTCAAAAATGTCACTACCCAAAATTAAAACATTCTGTTTTATGTTTGCTGTAAAAATCCTTTCAACCCATTCATTATTAATGGTAATAGAACATGAAATAGGTCAATAACTTATTTCCGAGATATTCCAGGAAATTCACACATAGCTGATTACTTGGGAATTTTTTTTTCTGAGAAAATCACACTTTTTTCAGTCTTTGCATAGGACAAGAGTGAACTTCTATAGGTACGCTTCAGGCGCATAGCATGTAACATTTTCTGTAATGGTCACGGTTACTTTTTGTTTTTATCCTTCCCTGCTGCCCACCCTTCAATACCTCTCCATATAATTTTAATTAATTTGGGTGTCTTTATCATGCTTCTACATTATTTATGCTATACCCAATATTATTCTGGAATAAATATGATGGGTAGATAACCTTTATTGATAGTAATAGTACAATTATACAATATTTTATAGCACCGTGAGGCTCATCCCTCCGTGCATCATGGCGAGAGATTGATCAAGCCTTCTCCCTCTCAAATGGCTCTGCCGACCCTCCAATACCTCTCCATATAATGTCAGTTTTTATTAATTTGGGCATCTTTATCATGCTTCTACATAATTTATGTTATACACCTAATATTATTCTGGAATAAATATGAGGCCTGGTCATAGACCGAGCTGCGGGGGCTTTGACCCCTGAAACCCTTTCCAGGTATACTCGAGGTAGATGACCTTTATTGATAGTAGTAATACAGGTCTCCCTCAACATTCACATTTTCAGCTTTCGCGGGCTTCACACATTCGCAAATTCCCAATCGCCAAATTCCCAGCCACCAAATTCCCAGCCGCCAAATCATATTCAAGTTTCCCGCCACCTGCGAGTCCCTACTACCCTCCCACCGACCCCCGCAACTGGCAGCCAGCCCTCCCACCACTCATTGTGCGAGTGTTTTGTTTGTTCATTATTTGCTATTAAACTACAGTATAAATAATGTAAACCCATTGTTGACTGCATATTGGAATGGCTATTCGGACAGGTATTAGACGGTGACATCATGTGTTTACTCTTGAACACAGCAAAGAATCAAACATTTCTGCTACTGCTAATAATAACAACAGTAATAATAATAATAATAATAATAATAATAAAAATAATAATAATAATAATAATAATAAATATGATATAATTGAAGAAGGAAGTTGTACAAAAATACGAGGGAGTGGTTGACACATCGTCAGTGTGACTTTGTTTATGCTGGAGTGAACATTAGTCTCCCTGCTCTTCCAAACATTTCACAATAATTCATTGTGTTTGGTGCTTGTAGATTGAGTGTGACTGGAGTGGTAGAGGCAGTGGTTGAGGCAGCGATTGAGGCAGTGGATGAGGCTGCTGTTGAGGCAGCGATTGAGGCAGCTGTTGAGGCAGTGATTGAGGCAGCTGTTGAGGCAGCGATTGAGGCAGTGGTTGAGGCAGCTGTTGAGGCAGCGATTGAGGCAGTGGTTGAGGCAGCTGTTGAGGCAGCGATTGAGGCAGTGGTTGAGGCAGCTGTTAAGGCAGCGATTAAGGCAGTGGGTGAGGCAGCTGTTGAGGCAGCGATTGAGGCAGTGGTTGAGGCAGCTGTTGAGGCAGCGATTGAGGCAGTGGGTGAGGCAGCTGTTGAGGCAGTGATTGAGGCAGTGGTTGAGGCAGCTGTTGAGGCAGTGGTATTTAATAACATACATGTTATTAATAATAATAATACATGTTATTAATAATATGTACTATTATTATTTATAACATATATGTTATTAAATACCACTGCCTCAACTGCTGAATTATTGTGAAATGTTTGGAAGAGCAGGGAGACTAATGTTCACTCCAGCATAAACAAAGCCACACTGACGATGTGTCAACCACTCCCTTGTATTTTTGTACAATTTCCTTCTTCAATTATATCGTATTATTATTATTATTATTATTATTATTATTATTATTATTATTATTATTATTATTATTATTATTATTACTACTACTACTATTGTTATTATTAGCAGAAGCAGAAATGTTTGATTCTTTGCTGTGTTCAAGAGTAAACACATGATGTCACCGTCCAATACCTTTCTGAATAGCCATTCCAA